GAAAGGAAGAGAAAAGGAGGAAAGAAAAAGACAGAAGGGAAGAAAACATTCTAAATATGAATGTACCTAGTAATGTAATCTCAAAATGGACAAAGTGGGAAGGGAAAGAAAGTGAAGGCCAGAGGGGAGGAAAAGGCAGGAGAAGAAACTGAAAAAAAGAAAATTAAAGTTATAAATTTAATAGACAAATTTTACGTCAGTTTAGACAATGATAATTACTGAAATGAATTCATCACAGCCAGAATGTGTGAAAAGGAAGGCATGGTAGAGTTAAAAAAAAAAAAAAAAAAACCTAATTAGAGCTCCAGAAGGAGAGAGGAAATGAAACAAATCAATATTGGCAGAAACAATGACTGAGAATTTTTAGTAATAGAAATTTCCATAATTGATTTGTTGAAGTTTTTTGGATCTACAGATTGCTGGTATTCTTGAATCTATGGGTTCAATCTCTACATTGAAGAAGTCCAACAAATTTTAATCCAGATAAATTTTTTAATCTATTTATTGGTGTTTTGTATTTCTTCTTAAACACATTCCTAAGATTTTGTGACATGATCAGTAAATTCTTGCAATTTTTTTAGTTTGTATGTCTTCTTTTTTTGTTGTTCATTTATTCACATGGGTATACATTGTTTGGGTCATCTCTCCACCCTGTTCCCCTCCCTCAACCTTCCCCCCCCTCCCCTCCTCAGTTCTACCCGTGTGACTGATTTTTTTTGAAGAAAAGACATAAGCATAATAAGAAAGACAAAGCATTTTTGCTAGTTGAGCTAAGGATAGCTATACAGAAAGACTCCTACTACTGCTCTCATGTACCCATGTGCTACGACCCATGCTGATTCAACTCTAACTGATCTTTACATTGGTTCCTAATCCCCTGCTAGTGATAACCTGTCGTTTTAAGGTTTCTGTATTAGTTCCTCTGGAGTGGGGACATCAAACGCTTTCATGTTTTGGGTATTCTACCTATTCCTATATCTCCCGTATGTGCTCTCCCCTTTTCTTGTGATCCAAGTCCAACAACATTGCTGCATTTGCCCTAGATCTAAAGTCCGCATGAGGGAGAACATACGATTTTTTGGTCTTCTGAGCCTGGCTGACCTCGCTCAGAATGATGTTCTCCAGTTCCATCCATTTACCTGCAAATGATACGATTTCATTCTTCTTCATGGCTGAGTAAAATTCCACTGTGTACAAGTACCACATTTTCTTGATCCATTCATCAGTAGTGGGGTATCTTGGTTGTTTCCATAACTTGGCTATTGTGAATAGCGCTGCAATAAACATGGGTGTG